GTCGAAGAAGAGTTTCGACCATTCAACCAGAATTTGTTTAAAAATTATCACGGTTTAATTCTAATGTGTGCGTTCGTATGTTCTTTTTTACGGCTACAGTTCGTATGTCGTTTGTCATTAATATTTTAAAAAATTTGGGATTTTTTTTTTTCAATAACCTTGAACAGACCTTTGTGAGGACTTCCTTGTGAGCGCTTGCTTGGAGTACGGGCAGAAACTTGTTCACACGCTATTAAGGTTTTGGGGACATGCGATTTGACTTTCTTGAAGTTTTCTTTTAATTCTAATATAGAGGCGGGTTGATCTGCGTTAACGTCTATATTTTAGACTAGCTTTTCATCAGTAAATGGAAAATTTTCTCTGTAAATAGTAAATTTTCTCTGTTTCAGCCGGTGCGGCGCTCTATCATACCATTGCCTTGAAGTGGTGAGAAGTGGTCGTGATATTATGAATAGCAAGTAATTTTGTAAATTCTGTGAAAAGGGTTGAAGTAAACTGTGCTTCTTGATCACCTGGTATTGTTTGCGATAACCAGAAGAGTGAGATGTAATTGTATACAAAGAATTCGGAAAGGATACGTTTCAGGCCATCGTGTGAATCTATCAATTATGCCAAGTATATAGCGATTGCCATCACATTGAGCAAGCGGACCAACAATGTCTATATGGACGTTTCGGAATCCTTTGGGAATTTCTATTTTGCGTGCTGATGTTTTCGTCTTTTTCTTTTTTTTCTGGCCAAAAATACCATTCAGCCATTAATTTGTTCGTTGCTCTTGATCCTGCATGTGAAATTCTATGCAATTTACCGAACCCTGCCCTTGTAAAGTTGGTGGAACAGAAGGTCTTGCGATTTTCACGAACACTTCACAACAAATTTTGTATTTTATGGATGGAACTTTCATTTGCTTTAGGTTAAGATCTTTCCTAACTGGTGCAATGCATTTGAAAGGCCTTGTCTGTCTCGCAACTGAAGCAACTGAAGTGATTGATTGTGAAATAGATTGCGAGCAACTCTCGATCGAAGAAATTTATGTATGTTTAGTTTTCATTTGAAATATATTTAAAAGATAGTATTATTATTATTATTATTTTAATTTTAGACTAATGAATTGAATTCTTAGACTAAAAAAAAGACATTGAGCACTAGCAACACAGGCTATCGGCTCTAATTTAAATAAATGGATATTAGATAATAAGCTTAGTAGTATTAATAAAGTAAAATATTGAATTGATGTTCTGTTCTGAAGCTGATTGTAGAATGTTCAAAGGGTTAATCGTTCCAAATGCAATACTTCTAGCCAAGGAAAAGTTGAGGCAGTCGCAGAGAATGTGCTTTATAGTAAGAGTTTGTCCACAACAGTAGATTGGGGGAGAAGACTTCTTCAGGATCCATTGGTGAGTTGCAATTGTATGACCAAGGCGGATTCTCGAGAATGGATCTTGGTTTTCTCAACATTTGTTGGATATAGAGGTGGAGTTAATTGAGGGTTAATGCAAGAGTAGTATTGATGACGGCAGCATACTCTGCTCATTTCCCAGTAAGCCAATGTGACTTGGTACCAATAACATTTTAATTTTTCCGTCGGTTATAGTAATTATATTCCTTAATTTGTTGGTGGTGCTCCATCTCGAAGTCGAAGGATTCCGAACAGCTTGTAATACAGACGAACTGCCGGTAACAATAACGGTTTTGAGTTTGTTTTTATGGGCAAGGTTGGCAGCGTGAAGGATAGCTCTGGCTTCGGTTATGAAAGTATAAGTACTTTCGTGAAATATGTGATTGAGAAGAACCCGTCCTGTAGCATCTACCACCGCACAAGCAGGAGGCAGACCAGGAGATTTTGAGCCTTCTGTGTACAAAAGATTCCAACCAGTGCTTGGGTTAACCTAATTTATGTTTATTTTACGTGAATGTATATTTTTTTTCATGTTATGGGATTTACAATTTGTGCATTATTTTATAACAAATGGAAAACAAGCAATAAAAATATTTATTTTATAGTTGAAATATAGTCCATCTCTTTTCAACATACCAAAAAAAAAAAATAGTTGAAATATATATTCACCAATCATTTTATTAGAGAGTAATAAATAACAATTTGAGAACCACAAAGAATGCCGTCAAAACAATTTCTAGAATTTCAAAATTTCAGGCAATAATTAAAATTAATGTAATTATAAAGAATCGCAAAAAGCATCAATGGTAAAATGGTAATCGTTGACTACTTAGGAATTGTAAACTCCGATATCTGGAGACAATCAACGAAGGAATCCACTATCATATATTATACATAATATGGATTTGGCAAGCCGTCAAAGGTTTCTACGTCTATTTGAACGAATGACCCAAGAGGAACGCTCCACAATACCGCTTTACACTATGGAAATGTTCTCGGCGTTTCCTGGAGAAGTAGCTAGAGATGAACTTAAGATGTTGCACGATCATCCGGATTCCTTTGTGGATATGTTTTGCGGTTTTCGAGTGATCGAAATGCAAGCCACTCTAAACTACGATCTTATGAATGACACTTTGAAAACAAATTCAACGTTTCTTTCGGAAGCCGATGATACGATTCTTTTCCGATCAATTTATTTGATTGACAATCTCGTCTCTTCCTCTACAACAGAAGAAAACAATTTGTGCCCCAAAAGTGCTGAAGAGGACCAAGATCAGTTTGAAAA